GAATTCATGGATACATAATAATAGCTATATCTCAATTCAATAGGGTTTATTGCAAGAATGCAAGGTTGATAAAGATTTGAAAATCAAATCATAAATAGAAATAAAGGAGAAAATCATGATTATTTCAATAGAAAAACAAGTCAGTCTCACTTAAAACTGTAGACTTTAAAGTAATTGAACAGCATTGTATGAATTAGCAATGCATTCAACTAAAAATAACAATAAAAATGAGTAAGTAAAAGTAGTTTATAGAAAAAGAGGGTTCAGGAACTCTAATGGTAGGCAGTTAAAGCTGTTTCAATGTTTAATGATGCCATCTGGGATCCAGACTCACTTCTGCTCTGCCACTTTTTGAAGCCTCTGTAATAGTGCTTGGCACTATAGTAGGTGTTCAGTAAATGTATGTTGGATGAAAGAATCAATGTGTTAATCATCACCTGAAGCTTATTACCTAATGGCTATAAGACCAGCCTAATGACCTGCAGTTTCATTTTCCAGGCATGAAGAACAGAGCAGAAAGGAGTGTGATGCCTACATCAAGAACACCAGAACCCCTCAGCTTTCATCTTGCATTGACTGACTCATTTGGCCACCCAACTGCAAGGGTATTTGGAAAGTATTTTTAGCTAGGCACATTATCACCCTGAAAAAAAGAAACAAAACAGTTCCTACTCAAGCCAAAGAGAATAAGTACTGCATCCTTCTGTATAGAAGGCACAATAATAAGTTAGGGCCCCAGGATGAGTAAGAAAAGGCACCGTCTCTAAGAAGACTTAAGTTAACAAGGAGATAGAAGTACAACACAGCTGTAATACAGGGAAGAGTATGACAGCAATCATGCAAGTACTTCAGACAAAGTGCTCTGGGAAATCAAAGGCAAAAAAGGCATCTATTAGGGAGAACTGAATGGCTTTGTAGAATAAAGCTTTTGAGGTTTTAAAGATGCCTAAGATTGTTCACAAGCAGCAAATACACAGTAGTATATTCTCACTGGAAAAATACTAGCCAAAGCAATTAGGCAATATCTGGTGCCTGAGGGACAGTAACTGAGTGTTGCAGTCTCTCCAAATCAGGTCTATTTGGAGATAAAACTAGAAACATAAATTTGGATATCATATCACTGAATGCTGGGTAAAGAATTCAAATTTAATCTAACTGACAAATGAGACAAGGATCTGGAGCAAAGAAATGACAAGACAGATGTGGTATTTTTTTTTCCACTTTACTGAGATATAATTGTGTGATACTGTGATTTATAATAAGAAGTATGTATTTGGTCTTTATGCCCATTTCTGGCACAAAGCTCCTAAAACCCTTCAAATTTCCTAAGCAATAAGAGTGGCAAAGGTGTCTTTTGTTATGCTAATAATGCAACTTCTAGACAGCACCCAAGGATGGGTGCCCACGGCCAGGAAGACCAGCTATGTGATTAGTGGGTTGGGGCTCTGACTCCAGCTTTCCTGACCTCCGGGGAGGGGAGAGGGCCTAGGGGCTGAACCAACTATCAATGGCCAATAACTTGATCAGTCATGACTTTGTAATGATGCCTCCATAAAAACCCAATAGGAGTGGTGGGTTCAGAGAGCTTCCGGATTGATGAACACATGGAGGTGCTAGGAGAGTGGCACCTAGAGAGGGCATGGAAGCTCTGTGCCCTTTCTCCATTCTTGCCCTGTGCATGTCTTCCATCTGGCTGTTCACTCAATTATATCCTCTCATAATAAACAGGTGATTAGTAAGTAAAATGTTTCTCCAATTTCTGTGAGCCATTCTAGCAAATTAACCAAACCAAGGAAGCTGGAACCTCTGATCTGTGCCCCTGGTTGGTCAGAAGCACTGAGAACAGCATGAACTTGGGATTGGCATCTGATGATGCTGAGTGGCAGCCTTGTAGGACTAAGCCCTTAACCCCTGGGACCTGATGCTATCTTCAGGTAGTGTCAGAACTGAGTTGAACCAACCCCTCAGGTTGTAAATGGCACAAGACCTCTTAAATTTTCGTATAACATTGTATTTGTTTAAGGTATACATATGATTTGATATATGTATATGTTGTGAAATGGTTATTGATTTAATACCTTTGCAAGTTTATTCCGATATATAAAATGTTTGGAACCAAGAGAGAAGTTCCAGGATACTGTGATTGTTTAGGGGAGGGGCCATGTTACAGGCATAAAGAACAAAGCAGAAAGTTCTCAGTGCTGTGGTGGTCTCAATCAAGTGTGAAGGTATCAAGAAAAGGAAAGGCTGAAATGGAGAGATGCTAGAGAGGGAGAATTATTGGCTAGATGCTGAGAACAGAGGAAAGGTGCTAATAGTCTTAAGCTTTCCTGAGAGTGATGATGTCAATAACAGGAGAAAGGGAGATATTAAGAGGACATCTAAGTGAATTTGTTCAGCAAACCCAATAATGCAGCTTTAGGATTCATCTACGTGGGCACAAAAGAACTTCTCCAAGGGAGCAAGCCTAGGGAGTTAAAACCAGGACAAACTCTTGGAAGGATTTTGGTGAGTGGAAAATTTAGAGGAGCCAGTGAAAAAAAAAAAGAAAGAAGAAATATAAGGGGGAGGAGTTAAAAACATGAATATCAGTAGGTAGTGGCAGGGCCTTTCTGGAGTCAAAAATAGACGCAACAGATTTTTCTGATGAACTCGCTTATTACCTAGGTATCTCACCAGATCCTAAATTCCTTAAAAACAACAAGAGTCTAATTCATTCTAGTGTTATTCATAGCACAAGGCCTGCCACTGAATAGTCAGAATTCAGGGGAGAGAGGGAGTTTTGAAGGAAAAAAAGGGAGTTAGGATGGGAGGAGGAAGAACCCAGAACAGTTGGGTTGGTGGTTGGGACAATGTTTTCCGTAGAGTGAGAGGCCTAAAAGCCAGGCAGCAAGTGCTTAAAGATACCACTAACCCAGGATACGGATTGCTTTTCAGGCAGGTTGATGGTGAAGAAAAGTGAGTGTAGAAAAATCAAGTACTGTATTTTGTTCATTTGCTTGTTTTTATTGTGTTTGCTATTCTGTGAGTTTTTCCTTCTGATATTGTAAAGCATTCTGTCAACTCTGTCCTTACTCAGAAGTCTTCTTGGCCTTTTTTTTGTTGTCATTCTCCCAAACTCTTAAGGCCTCCGGGGGAATTAGGGAGTTTGTGGTTAAAGAACCAGTTCCTTGAAGAAAAGTGAAAGGAGACACATTTCCCCCAGACTAGAGTTTTCCACAGCCACAGCGGGAGGAGGATATAGAGAGAAAGCCATCTGTGGATTCTCAGAGCAGAGATGGACACCCTGCCTCCCAGCAGCTCGCCAGAAGGAGGAAGGACCTGAGGGACACGGGGCTGTGTGACCTGACTAGGAATACAGGGCCCGGGGCTGGCTCAGCAAAGACGCCCGTGGGCTGAGTGTGGGACATTGCTTCTCAGTGGTGACCCGGTAGACCAGCAACCAAGGGAGCACCTGCCGCTCTTCTTCATTCTCCCCCCATCTCAGGCCTGCTCACTGCAGTTCCACCAAGGGTAAGGGTAAACCCTACAAGGAAATAAGTTATTGTTTTTTTGAGCATATCAGTAGAATGGGGCTTTGAGCCAGAAATTAAGTTGCATTATAAAAAGGACAGAGAGATGGGTTTTAGCTGATTCTGTGGACCAAGATCCACTGAAAAAGGTTTATAGGCCAGGGAGTAGGGACCTCAGAGACTGTGAAGAACAACATGAGAAGCACCATGCAAACACGCACCACGATACGGGCAGTACTCTGGAGGTGTTTGATCGGACTGCCCTAGAAGAGGGACCATGGTGGGCAAGACAAAAGTTAAAGAAAATTTCCTCTGATGGCTTCTGTTGTTGAGTACACTCTGGGGCCAAGTCACTGAAAGAGAGGATAGAAAGGATTTTGGGACAACAATCCTGAAGTGTTATATGAAAAGATGAACTGATAGGTGTATGGGTGAGCAGCAAGGAGCACTAGCGGCTTTTTGAGAGCATGCAGTCTGCAATAATGGAAATCAGTGTGTATATGCACTTCTGTATTGATTTATGTATATACCGATGTTCTATCTTGCCCAACAAAGGAGACAGGCTGCTTATAGGGAATACTTAAGAGCACTAAAACAAAAAATAAATCAGAAGCAGAAAACATACATAAACATATCATAGAATGGAATTCACATGCAGGATGCTCTAGGCAACACAGTTCTGTGTGTTTCTCCAGCCAATGCTCAGTCACCTGTACAAAGAATCAGGGAATGTTAATAACTGGGGTGTTCTGTGGGAACAATGCAAGAATGAAGGGGAAAGTATTGAAGTGAAGCCATTAGTTGCTCATAGCACTAATACAAATAGGATGGATAGACTGAAAGAAATGGAGACAGTGGACTGCAGAATACAATTAAGACAAATAATAGGAAGAGAGGGAAGAATAAATAGAAGCTTGTGATCAAGGACTGCACAGTAGAGATGGTGTGCCTAGAGACCAGCTAAGTGAAGTCCACTTAAGAGACCACTGCAGACTGGTTAGCCATGGCATACTCCACCCCTGAAATCCAACTCTTCTAGGCTAGATAATGACAGAATACTCCAACCACTTCAGACCACTTTTAACTGCCAAGTAGATAAACATTTATTGATCATTGACTATGCAAGGAATAAAATAGTAATTTATTTAATATTTGTACTCATCACAAGATTGTAAGTTCTTTAGAGGGAGAAATTATGTCTCTTGAATTTACTTTAGTATACCTGACACCTAAAGGACTATTTGACATATATTAGATGCCAGGAAATATTTGATGTATAAATAAAACCACCAATGATCCTGTCTTGGCAAGATAACATGTTTTGCTACTTAATAAATTGCCCCCAAAACTTAGTGCCTTAAAAACAACAATCATATATTATCTCTTCCAGTTTCCATGGGTCAGGAATTTGGGAGTGGCTTAGCTGAGTGGGCTGGCTGGGAGTCTCTCATGAATTTACCGTCAAGATATCAGCTAGGCTGCAGCTACCTGAAGGCTTGGCAGGGGCTGGAAGATGCACTTTCCTTGATGGATCTTTCCCATGGCTGGCAAGTTCATGCTGGCTGTTGACAGGATGTCTCACTTCATCCCCATGGGTGCCTCTTTCAAGACTCTTTGGATATTCTCACAACATGACAGCTCTCCTCCCCCAGAGTGGGCGACCTAAGAGGGATCAAATGGAAATTGTAACATTTCTTATGATCTAGCTCAGGAGTCACAAATCATGAGTTCAACCACATTCTGGTCAGTAGGGAGGTCCCTACATCTGCCCCATATTTAACTGGCAAAGAATCCCCACCTTTGCAAATAAGTCAAAGAGTTTGTAGACATATTTTAAAACCAGCCTAAAACCCAATTAACAAATTAATGGATAAAAGGATGAGGCAGAATTTGATGCAGTGACTAAAAATCAATTTTCCTAGTTTTAGAATAAAGAAGGGAAAATAACTCTGCAATAGTTTAAGAGTAATATAATAAAGAATCAAACAGTAGATTAATATCTGGAAAAATTATTTCTTTAATATCCACATAGTTGCAGAAGTGTGAGGTTCATAAATGCTTCTCTACCTGAGAATATCCCAGGGAAAATATACTGAATACCAGAAAGTCAATGTCCAATAGCCAGCATAGCTCAGAAAAAAAAAAATCAGTAGATAAGATATAGTTGCAAAATAATAAAATAGTGCCATCTTCCATCCTTGAAGGGGTTACAATGCCTCTGTAAATATCTGAAAAAGGAAATCTTAAGTCTGTCCACACATTGTTGGGGTTGCAGGAGGAGGGCAGGGACCACGTAGAATTACTTTCTTTGCCAGTATCTGATCCTAGCACTGGAGAATTAAGTGGATAAAGAGAATAAAGAGGGTAATGTTAGAATTTGAAAAGGCATAAATTACATAATCTATTCTAATAGTACCATCATCTATATTGTCAAGCAGACCTTAAACACAAGCAAAGATCCCTAAACTGCTTTTCATGAAGAAGTTGTCTCAGTGTCTTAACTCTCTTTCAGTTTGGGTATACACAATCTGTCTGCTAAAATCCCTCCCTAGTTTTACTTGACTGCTGTTGTCTCCTTCCTTTCCTTTCCAGGACCATTTTGAGCACAGAAGAATGGTTTAAGAATGATTTTGTCATTCCACTTCCCTCCATGTAAATAATAAATAGCCCACACCACAAAGAAATGTGTGCACAAAAGAAATGATGGCAATTCATAGTGGATGAAAAGTCCAGTTTAAAAAAATGTGTGTGTGCATGTGTCTGTGTGTATTCCTTTTTCATCTGAATTCCTTCTAAATGAAAATTTCACATAAGTGACTTTTGCATAACAAAAAAATGACTCCTTTCAGTACTCACATATTATTTTAATTTAGTGTAATGGACATTTGTGTAAAATATAAATTGTTCTACATTTTTGAACTGTGCTATACTTTAAACTTTGCTTGATGATTCCAGATTAACTTTGTGATTATTAAAGATTGTTCTCTATTTTACAAGGCAATCTAGTGCAACGGTAAGATTATTAGATTAGGAATCACAATGACTACATCAAGTTCTTGAACCTCCCTGGTATAGTTTCCCCATCTGGAAAATGGGCTTAATATCCTCCCTGGATTTCTCATTGTTTACAATAAATACTAAACTATCTAACATAAGTCCATGTTATCAATCCATTATTAAAGGTAAGACTACAGATACTAAAATAACAGACTGTCTTAGCCCAAGAAGAGTTACTGCAGCTATGATTTGGTGTTTTTATGTTTATTGTACATGAATCATGATTCCCAAAGCAGTCAGATCAAGTTTAAAATTACAGTAAGTAGGTGGAGTAAATGGATTCTCCTAAGGAAAAAAAATTAATTTTATGGTCTTTATAATACTCATTTTTGGTATATGGAATTTTCTTTTTGGTTATTTTTTCCTTCTTTAGTCTATCTGGCTAGTTCAGCTTGCTAGATAAGGGACCTCTGAAAAACTGAAGTTTGATAATCTGTGTATCTTCTCTTAGCATGAATGAAAATACCAGGAATATTTTACTTCAACAATATTTCCCATGATAGCTGTCCCTGAAAATCGATGTAGGTGCATAAAAACATGGCCACCACCGACCAAAGTGGAATAGTCAGCATGGCCACTTACCATGGCCAACACAGTTACGTTTCTCAAGTATTTGGATAAAGTGCTACATTGGTACATTTTTATTATTACCTTCAGACTTTACTACACTGATTGCTAAGAAACTATAGGCTTGGCCAGGCACATGACTAAACAGAGTGGATGGCATTTGGGGTTTGATCTCTCCAGAACTGTGGTGGAAAGCAATGTGATTCTCCTCCAGAGGAGACCTCCACCCTCACCCTCACAATTACATTATAAAACAAAAAGCACAACTGAACTGCGAAGGCTACAGGCTCCAAATTTGACAGCAATTCTGAAAGTCATGTCAGGGCAATGCCTAAGGCAGTCATTTCTAAACACTGGACTGTGGCCCAGCACTTTAGAATCAATCAGAATTATTTTCGGTTCTGACTTCACATCATTGAAGACACATCTTTTGAAGATGAGATATAGGTATTTGTACTTTCAAAAACATCCAAGTAATTCTCATGAGCAGATCATATTTGAGAATCACTAGCCGAAAATGGATGAGTGAGGGTATCTGCCATTGGGCATTACCTCACTGCTGATAGTCTGTTCCACAAGGAGGTACAGGATTCTGCCATTCTCACACCCAAATAAAGGCCCATCAAAAATGACTACTCTGATTTTCATTCCTTCGGCAAGTATTTACTAAGCTCCTACCACATGCACTGTGATGGGTGCCAACTTTGCTGCAACAAATAAAGCAGATATTGTCTCTTCAATCACTAAGCTTAAAAGCCTGTGGGGGGTGGGCTGGTATATTAACCAAATAGTCATTCAAATTTCTATATATTATAGAGGCTATAAAGGAAAGCAGGGCATTTGAAAAAGTATAACTAGTGTTTCAAAAACTGATGGAGTATGAGTATGAGTGTAGTCAGAGAAGGCCTCTCTGTAAAGAAATAACATTCAATTTGAGATTTAAGTAATGGATACCAATTAGCAGTATGGGTAATCCAAAAGCTCTTGATAGCGGGTACATGAATCCTGCAGCACAAGCGTTGTTCTTCTGGCACATGCTTGTTCTCAAATTGTAGTTTCAGGCCCACTGAGCAGTGTGCCTTAAAGCAGCTTGGAAAAGAATAGTCAGAATCAGAAGGGAGTCCACAGAACTAGTGGGGTCCATTAAGAAATCTCATTCCTGGATGTTTATTTACCTATTATGTGTTCTTAATCTGGGGCTCTAGCAATCAGGTTTTACATAGTTTGATCTAAAACAGTGGTTCTCAGTTTGGGCTGTACATTGGAATCTCCTGGGGAGCTTTAAAAAAAGTATTGATGGTTTGGCCTCACTCCTAGAAATTCTGATTTCATTTGTCTGGGGTGTAGTCTGGACATGAGGATGTTCTAAAGCTCCCCAAATGGTTCTAATATGTAAACAATTTTGAGAATCACTGTTTAAAGGAGAAAAAGAATAAAGCTTTAACTGATCAACGAGGAAAGTCAATGAACAGTTAAAATAATCTGTTGGAGATAGGCAGAAAGCAAACAACGGCTGGTAAAACTGAACCTTAAGTTGCCAGCCCGCCAACCATTACGGACGGCCCCGTGGGCTCTCTCCTTCATATATAAACGACCCTCTTTGACACTCAGCCTGTTTGTCTGAGGCAATCCTTTATGCCTAGGTCCTTCTGTGATGGGCTGAGGAAAAAAGATGTAAAGACAGTTTAAAAATATTTTAGCCCCCAAAACATTTGTAGTCCATTTTGAAAGACAGAAGTAACATCCACAAAATGATAAATTGAATACAGTATAAAGTATTAACTGAGACAACAGAAGTTCAGGAGATGGGGAAAAAGCTTCACTGAAGGCTGGGCACCTCTGAAGAGACAAGAGGATAAGGGACTCACATGACCTGTGAAGAGGGGAAGGGGGTAGGAATGACCGTGGCAGGAGGAGGAGAACAAGGAAGAGACCTGCCTCACTGCCCCCAGGAGGGCGTGGGGAGCAGAAAGAGATCAGCTCTCTTTCCAGCTGAAGTTGGCCAATAACCAATAGTCATTTTGAACAGCTTGTTTTTCAGAGAACAATTCTTCTTTGGCATCTCCCCTCACACTGAAGAAGACTGATTTTGTCATTCCACTTCCCTCTATCAAGAAAGTGGCTAACCTTTGATTTCCAAATGCTTGGAGGTCAACTGCCAGGTTTACAATTTTTAGTTCCTCAAAGGTCCTCTAGACTTCCTATCATAGGCAGAGAAAACAGCCTTTCATATTTTAATGGTAAATTTTTATCACTCAGGTACGTTTTTCCAGTTACCCCCCTAAAGAGGCACCAAATCACAGCTCTACCATATTATGTGTTTATACCCGGCACTATGGGAAGCATTACACATACATTGTCTCATTTAATTTTTACTTTTCATTAGAAAACTATTATCCCTATTTTTTTCTTCAGCTTCAGAGAGGGTGAGTAACTTGCCCAAGTTCACACAGTAAGTGGTAGAACCTGGACTTTTACCCGTCTACCTTATTACAAAAGTTTAACGTGTAGGTACCACCTTTTATAAATATAACAGACAAGCAATTAAGATTCTTGTTATTACACTGCTAAAGACCTCATGATCACTATGCAGCAGAAACACCTGTGGCACTTTTTAAAACTATTGGAGCTTGTAGCTCACCTCAGAATTGTGAATGAGAATATTCAGGGCAGAGCCTGGAAATCTATGATATTTTCCAAGCCAAACAGGTGATCGTGATGTGCAGCCTGGACGGTGAATAATGGTCCTATTCAGTAGCAAAGGCTGGGAAACATTTGTGTGACCTAAATGCTACTGCCTGTGCTTGTATACAGGCCTGCATAAGGCTCCTCCCCAAGGGAAAAGTGTAGCATCTTTCCACTTAAACTGTAGAAAACAATCATACTAAGGATGACAGTGATGATAATAATTAATAGAGCAAGTCTGAGAGGACATTCTATCTTGGAGGAGCTCAAGCAATCCCAAATGCAAGGATTTATGAAACATCACCATTTTTAGTCGGCAATGGCCTATGGGATTGTCACATTCTCCAAAGAGT